ATGTAGTACAACAAGCATTGTTAATTCCCTACCACTTTGTTTGTAACTCTGTATTGTCTGTACTGTGCTTGTGTTATGTTGTAAAATGTTGTATGTCTGTTAATGTTTCCCTCCTTTTATCAATAAAATAAAAAAATAATATATTTTTATATTTTATTCTGTCTTCAGAATGCCAGCAACTTTTATGTCCCTTAAGGTAGCTTTCAGCTTAGTCACATGCACACACCCATTGTCACGTACTCAGACCTTATTCTAAGTGCTCTTGCTTAAACTTCTATTTTTTGTCCTCTCTGTCATGAAACGAATTTATACAATCTCTATCAGCTGAGAAAAGTTCATCTCTGTAATACCTTTTAATTTCTGCAGCTTGTGACACTTTTGCCACCTTGTAGGTCAGTGGGATGATGAGCTACAGAAATAAGCCCTTTTTTTGAAGCCTGATGATCTTTCCTGTATTTAATCTCATTTGTTTCTCAGTCACCATTAAGAAATCCCTGTTGTTGTTTTTTTTTTGTTTTTTTTTTTTTTTTAAAGAAATCAAATTTAACATCTGTTGACAATCACCCCAGGTGGGGCGGTGAATCTCAAACACCGCTTTTAGCAAACTAATAGAAGCCCGAGTTTACTCTAAAAGGAAAGAGTTTGAAGTTCTCCAGTTGCAGAACGAGGATTTCCTCCTAGCTTCATCATAGGAGTCTGCCGGAGAGGCAAAACTGGGATGAAACCTGAGGAGGAGACTCCTTCATCTAAGTCAGCTATAGGCTGGGGAAAGGCTGCCTGTAGGGGCAGTCCCCATAACAGAAATAGTTTGACATAATAGCAGTGACTCCGCGCGGGTCAGGATCTTTTTAAGCTTTCACGTAAACAACTCCCAGGGGTAGAAAAGGCCGGAGGAGGACGATCAGGGCCCCTCCCACCCAAGCAGCAGATTGAATTGTAACCTGAGGATGCGGGCACACCAAGGAACGCAAGGGCATAGAACTAACGGTTCAAACAGACAAACAGACAGGACAAAATGCCGGGAAAGATAATTTAGTGTTCCTTTGACTCGTTCTGCCAATTCAAATTGGAGACTGGCTTGAAACGCAACAAACAAAACTCCAAATTCTTTCTCAGCATTCACCAGAAAGACTAACAGGCCCCTCTCTCAGTTCCCGCTGGGAGGGTGAAGGCTGCACTGAGCCTGCAGTGCGTGTCTTTATGTCCCTCTCTTGGCTCCCGGAGAGGACAGAAACCAAAACTGCCACCCACGTCTGGGGGCCTAACAAACTGGAGAGCTAGCAACAGAGCTCTCTCCCAAGCAAGCCCAGTCTTGGGAAAGACTGGAAGCCAATTAAAATCTTACCCAATCGGAGGTTTAGAACTCTGTCTGTCCTTCGTGGCCGTGGCCTCCAGGTCTTAGCCTCCCCTGGATGGAGAGAACTGAACTCAGCTGGGGCGCCCAGCCATTTAGGAAAGTGCTAGGGGGTCTGCAGGCTGGGGGCCCCCTCAAAAGAGAATCTGCCTGCAGAATATCCCAGGAAGCCCCCAAATGTCAGAAAAGTGGTTTAAAACTCATTGAAGCAGTGTAAGCAACACGGAAGCCGACTGACCAATTGGGACAAACAGAACAAGAACAGACAATGACAGGAGGAACCGAAACAGAAACCAAAATTCTCTCCAGGGCTTAAAGGCATGTCTGCCATCCAGAAGATCCAAATGGGGCGCCCCACAAACAAATCAATCAAACTCTTACCGGTAAGAAGACAAACGTTTCTGAGTCGAATAGAAATAATTTAGTCTTTACCCGAGGTAGGGAAGTCTGTCCAGGTGGAAGCACGTCTTCTAGAGAGGCCCCCTGACAGGTGGCTGCTGGGGGCGAAGTGATCAGGGTCCATAGCGCCCCCTGTAGGGGATCTCGGTGGAACCTCCAAATGTTCTGGACTCAGAACCAAACCAAGGTACCAACGGACAAACACCAAAACTCACGGATCCCATATATATATATGAAGACACACAAAATTATAACAACACTGCACATGAACACACACAAATATAAATATGTATGTGTGTCTTATGTATGTGATCATACACAAAAATACATATTGAAATGCATACATGTGTGGGAATACATATGCCAAAGTATAGATACACAGCAAGCTATAGAGTGATATCGTACATGGAAATTTAGAGATAGACATTTCCAAAAAACTACCTTGACACACACATAATTCAAAAAGCTACCTTCACACACACATAATTCAAAAAGCTACCTTCACACACACAACCCATTCTAAATGATACTATAGTTAAACATTTAAAAGTCTTTATACTATCCTATAGTGCCTCTGACAGATGACATCATGATACCCAGAAATAGGCAACTGAGTCAAATAACTGAAGAGAACACCAAAATGCCCAATTCCCAGATCAGGTTGCTTCCAACTCAGAGACAGACTCAGAGCAGCATGAGATCTTAAAAGTGATCTTTCCCCGACACCCATTGTAACCTGCCAGCACATTTAGATATTCTCCTGCCTGTTGCAGGAACTCCCTTGAAAGAAAGTACTTGGGCTTAATAGAGTGGCCATTCCCAAGACAGCTTTGATTATGAGATCACTTTCTCTTGCTGAGCTGAAATTTGCCCATTGTGGTTCCCACTATTTCTAAGAGACATAGAAAGGAAAGTTTTCAGTGTGGCAGGAATGTGGCTTGCATGTGTGTGTGTTTGTGCATCCAAACTATAAGAAACCATATGACTTTAGGATCATCACCTAATATCTCTGAATGTTTCATTTTAGAATGTTTAAATATAACTGCTGTGCAAGATGTAGAAATTTCAATGTGATGAGCTATATCAATCCCTTTATATACCCCTTAAAACATGGCAAATATGGATTAATACTGATGCCCCTTGCTTTCTCTTTTATCACTGCATTTGTGTGTAAGACATTATGCCACTGAGTAATACTCTCAAATTAATCAGAATAACTATGATGTGCCTTTACCCCAGTTCTGCTTTTCCCTACATGAGTCAGCTAGCACTTCATTGCACTATAAAATCCTTTCTTCTGGCACATTCAGCAGCACCCAGGCTGGGAATCCTCTCAGAACAAGGATATTCCTCAACACCTGAGCCATTATAACGTATGGGGACAGATAAATCCCTGATCTTGCCCATTCTGTAAAGACTGGGGCAGAGGACGTGAGATTTCTGAAGACAAAGGACCTAAGCTAAGTAATGTAAGCTTATACCAACCTCACTAATTCCAGTCCCCCTTATGTCCTCAGGAGTTATTAAGTACCACTTATGACCAGTGCAAAGGTATTTAAGAGGTCAACCTGCCAAGCCAACTCTTAACATGCAATGCCAATGGAAGCTCATACCTCATTCCTCAGAGCCTGAAGCATAGAGCCAATGCTTTAGAGACTTTGTGTAGTCCAATATTTGAGCATTCAAGGCTACCGTTTAAAGTCATATGTTGGAAATTTGGGTACATGGCTCAGCATACAGAATATAATGAACAAAAGGTATCAATTTGTTTCTCAGTAGATCACTCTGGCACTGTGCCACCCATACAGTTGTCATAGCTACTTTCCTCTCATTGCTGAGACAAAATACCCAACACCCAAAGTTAAAGGGGGAAAAGTTTATAGTTCACAATGTGTAAGGTTTCAATACATAACTGGCTGATTCCAAGGCAGGGTGGCATGACACACAGGTATTGCAGAGGAGAAACAGTTTATGGATGGCAGAGGACACCAAAACCAAGCAAGAAGGACCATGGCTCTTTCTATCCCTGATATTTTATCCAGGCTACTCAGGACAGGTATCACTCACACCCTTAATCCTAATGTGACTGAGTCTAGCAACGCACCATAAATCAATCCAGGTGTCACACACTCTCGATACAGCCACCACTAAAAATGACACCTTTATGACTGCATGAGGCTTTGGGGAAACTTCTAATCAGAAACCATAGAAACAATGTTCACAGAGACCCAGTAGATTTCTGCAGTATCTCATTTCACATAGAGCAGAATTTGAAGGAGTGCCTAAAATGGGCTAGATAGCCTACACTTTTTGCATATATGTCTTATATTACTCTTGAGTTATTAGTGGGAAACAGAAACTCAATGGCAGAGTGGTATCTATACCAAGTAGAGCAGACCAGGACCTTCTGATAGAGGCTATAACACAAGAATTAGTAGGCAGCAATTAGGGAGATGGAAAATTATTTTTAAACATCACTTTTACAGTCATATACTGGACATGTTGGTAGATGATTTAGCACCATCCCTCTTAACTACCGCCAAATAAACATTTGCCACATCCTTCATAGATGTGGTGAGAAAGGTCACAGCTTTAGACCCTGAGAAAAATGATAAGAGGAAGAGCCCAGCACTCTAGAAACCTCAGGTATGATCTTTATGCCCTGTGGTAACAAAACGCTATGGAAAGGAAAATGGTTCTTGCATTGTGAGCAAACCCTCCCTTCACATTTACAATGTATCCAATGCTCAGTTTTCAGCTAAAACTTACAAAGAATAAAAGCAAACAATAAAGTAGAATCTATTCACTAAAAGAGAGGAAATTTACATAAAAGTGTTTAAGAAATCCTAGACATTGGATAGACAAAGCAAAGATTTTAAAACCACTGTCTTTGAAATACTCAAAAAGCTGAAGGAAACTGAGAAATGAGTAAAGGAAATCAGAAATGAGTAAAGGAACTGAGAAATGAGTAAAGGAAATCAGAAATCAAATGAGTAAAGGACACAGTGCACAAAAATGTAAAAAATATTCATAAAAATGAAAAACTTCATTGCTAGAGCCTACAAGCATAATCCTGAAATAAAAAATTCACTGCCAGAGTCCAACAGCCTATTTGAGCATGCAGAGGAAAGAGCCAGTGAAATTAAGAGATAAATGAAATAATTCAGTCTGAGAAGCAGAAAAAAATAAAGAAAAATGAGCAAAGCCTAAGGGTCCTATAGGACATTACCAAGAAAAAAAAAAAATATATATATATATATATGAAGAATAAGAAAGAGAAGAGAAAATCAAAAACATTTCCAATAAACAATGATCCCTAACTTCCCAGATATGATTAACTACAATATACAAACACAACACACTCAAAATCTCTAGGTGGGATGAACTCAAAGGGATCCTCACTATAAGGAAATTGTTAAAGACAAAACAAAAATCTTCAAAACAGCAAAAGACAAGAGACTTCTCCCAGAACAATTATTCTCAAGAAGATCAACATTCACCTCGCATCAGAAACCATCAGGCCCAAAGGCAGTGAAATGATGTCCTTACAGTATAGAAAGAAAAAGCTGTCAACCAAGGATTCTATATCTAGAAAAGTTGTCTTTCAATAATTAATGAAGGATAAGCCAGGGGTGGGGGTACATACCTGTAACCCCAGCACACTGGTAGTCTGCAGCAAGAGGAACATAGGGTCCAACCCTGACAATTTAATGAAGTGTTGTCTCAAAATAAAAAATAAAGAGATAGCGCTGTAGCCCAGTCCAAAGACCCTGCATTCAATCCCTAATACCACCAGAAAAAAACAAACAATAAATAGAGATATCTCCAGATGTTTTAAAAGGTTCCAGCCTACAAGAAATGCTAAGGCAGTATTGAGAGACTTGAATAGCAAAAACTGCATGACATAAAAACCAAGAAGCACAATATCTGAACTAAGTGCTTCATGATCAGTAATCACTTTAAATGTAAATAGTTTAAGCTTTCCATACAAAAGACAAAGGTTGGAGGAATGGTTTCAAAAATATCATCCAACCATGCAATATTCAGCATATGCAAATTCATAGAGTCAAAAGATTAGCAGTGCAGTGTTGTTAAAGGTAAATGTGGAGTTCTTATTTAATATTTACACAATTCTGAAGTGCTAGAAAACTTTTGAAATTAGAGGCACATTTTGAGTGTGAAATGCTACTTAACTGTATGCTTTAAAATAGCTGCACAGCACAATTTGTAATTGCTAAATTGTGGAAGCAACCCAAATGTCCATCCACTGAGGATTGGATAAGAAAATGGTGGTACTTTTATAAAATGGAATATTACTCAGCTATAAAGAGAGATAAACTTGAGGCTGTTACAGGTAAATGGTCACCACTAGAGACCATACTCATAAGTGAAATAAATCAGACCTGCATGTGCAAGCACCTCATTATGTCACTAGTGTGAAACCTGAAAGAGTTAATTTAAACTCGGAGGTATGATAGACACTGTGAAATGATAGGAAAATGCTCAAGGGTAAAGGGCAACTGGGATGTGGGAAAAGAGAAGGGAAAGGAGAGATTTTGTATGTATGTATATACAGGATAGTTAACATAGTTGTTCTACTGTCTTCTATTTCTTTGCTGAAAGAAACTGTCAATGAGTCCTTGATTGATCAATATTGCATGTCTCTATTTTCATGAGAAACCACTTTGAAGATATCAATATGTAATACAACAAGCATGGTTAATTTCCTAGCACTTTGTTTGTAACTGTATTGTCTGTACTGTTCTTTTGCTATTTTGTAAAATGTTGTCTGTTAATGTTTTCCTCCTTTTATTTTTAAAATAAACAATAAAAAATAAAGTAAAATAGCTGCACATATATTATGTTCATTTCACCTAAATTTTTAAAAAGTGGGTTATGATATTGTTTTGCATAATCCCTTTTTAAATGTAAAAATGCAAATATTACATGAATAGTGTATTAGATCATACTTCAAGACATTAAAGCTAATTGCAATGAATGACAAAAGTCTGGTGGTTTTCATTGTTTTCCCTTTGATTATGTTGCTGTTTTAAGAATTACAACTTGAGAGTCTCCACCCTCCGTGTACCTGGTGCAGACAGGAGATCCTCACTCAGAAGGCCCACGAAGTGCTAACACCGGGGTTCATGTTTCGGCCTTACCTGCATGTGCCTTGCACCACCTGAGGTACTAGAGCAGGTGGTCCATGAACTGTTGGCACTGCAGTTCACCTCTGGGCTTTACTTCCACCCTGACCTCCTGGAGGTCACAGACACAGGCGGTCCATGTCTGGCTCCTTTTCATGCCCTGAGCTGCCTGGAGACAAGGAATTAGTTGGTCCACAAATTGTTGATGTTCCTGTCTGCGTTGTGCCTGAACCCTGAACTGCCTGAGGACACAGGACCACTGGTCCATGATTGCACCACCAGTGCAACCTGCTTCTGGGTCACACACATGCCCTGGGCTGTGAGGAGACACTGGATCAGATGGTCTGTCATTGGGTGAAATCACAGTTCACGTCTGAGCCCTGGGAGAACTAGGGCAGAGCACAAAAGAAGAGCCCTAAAGACAAAGGATCAGTGCTCAGATGTACACCACAGAAGACTTCCATCCTTAGTGCAGGAGGTCCGATGGGGATCCACAACAGCCTACACAAAGTAATAGAGTAACTTACGTCAATTCTTGGATGGAACTCCTAGAGCCCACAGCAATTTGCTAATTTAGACCAATAAATGTCAAACGCAGAAACTTTGCTTAAAAATATTGAGAAAAGGGGCAGATTCCATCACACTGAATATTCATAATTAAATAAGAGTTGTTTTAGGTTTCCTTGGAAGGAGGTTACGATGATATAAGAGATACCAGGTGGGTTTAGTGCTTGGTGGCCAAGCTTTACTACTGCTTAGTACATCACTCCACCATGGGCTCCCTGAAATTGGGTTACAGGGACTCTGTCCTCCTCACCAGATGGTCAGCTCTGTTGGGAACATGCTTGCTCTTAGCACAAGAGAGGGGCCTAATGCCTATCTGCTGCAGAAACCATACTGGTGGACTTAAAAGCCTGGAATTGATAATTCTGTCACTGGGAACCAAGGTTTCTGAGCTTGTACTGGCCAATACCACATCCTACCGTCCCCACATTACAGTGTTGCGTTCATCCTGTGGACTAGAGCAAGTAGTTTGCTCAAAATCATCAGCTGTGGTCACTGTACATTCTACACAAGCACGTAGAAGATGTCATCAGGGGAAGGCATTGGGAGTAGGGCCCTTTCTTAGAAAGCATCACGAAATCAGTGGGAAATATAAGATCACTGAGCCGACTCCTCCCACTTCCTGTGTTGTGGATTAAATACAGCAAGCACAAAGATTCAGAAGCTCGGACCTGGGAAGACTTCTTGGGAAGATGCTGCTGCTCCTGCTCCTGTTGACCTTCTTTCTGCCACAAAGGACAAGGGCCGGTAAGTGACCATCTCTATCCCCCGGAAGCCCAAAGAGGACATAGGTCCCCTGTCCATCTACATGCCCCTGATCCATCAGTCTACAGTATAGTTGTGAACCTCATCACCAGTCCCACCAGAGAACCCCAAGTAGAACACTGGATAAGCTTCAACAGACTCTTCTCAAGAAGAGCCAGTGGGTACTGTCCCCTCTCTAGGCCCCACCTTTGCCATCTGGAAAGTGGGTCTTTCCTCAGAGTGCATGCAAATGGTGAGAAGGAACAAGTAGAAAATGTCAAATTCTCCTGGAGAAGGCAGAATAGGCTTGTGTTCCCTGTCTAGGATGAGAAAGATGGTCTCATCAGCTGCTTAGAAGAGAGTCCCACAGATCAGAGACCCCAGAATTCATGGAATCACTGTCTTCAGAGCACTGTTTTTGCCTTTCCACAGTCCTACTCACTTTCTCCAACTTTACTTTCTTTCCCAAGATTTACTGGCTCCCCTGCTTTCCCATAAGACCCACAGAGGCAGACTCTACCTTCTATGCTTTCCAGAATCCCATCAACACTGCCCTACCAACCTTCACCCACAGACTACCTGGAGATGCTCCTGCACGCAGCCATGCACAAGTTCTGAGGCACCCACATGTCAGGGCTAGGAAAGAGGATTAGACAAACAGTCTACACAAACAGTCTTGTCTTTAAGGGGAGATCATCGGGGGACATGAAGCAAAACCCCACTCCCGACCCTACATGGCCTACCTTGAGATCATGGAAAATAATTCTGTAATGAATTGTGGTGGCTTCCTGATTCATAAGAAGTTTGTGCTGACAGCTGCTCACTGTGCACAGAGGTGAGGAATAAAAAACAGCCCAGAGCCTCAGGAAATGCTTCTCAGAGACCCTTCCTCCCAAGGAGCTCCCTTAGCTCCTGGACACACACAAGCAGGAGACTGTCTGAGGGTAAGAAAGGGCTAGCCATGTCCATAAGGAAGACAAGCAAGTTGGCAGCAAGGGAACTGTTGACATGAGAAAGACCAGGGCAATAAAACCTGATATATTTAAACCCAGGACCATGTTTTGGCATAATAATGCAAAGTAAAGCAAATTCATGTGTTCTCCTGGAGGTTACTGGTCCTGAGAACTTCTGGTGCCCAAGGCCCAGGACTTCAGCCTCAGTTACTAAGAAGCAAGGGCACAGTCACATGGCCAGGTGGCCCTCCTGTCATCTGTAGCTTCAAACTGTACCAGCTGGGATGTGTCCTCTGTGTCTCCACATTCTCAACCCACTCTCTTCTCTGTGCAGACCACAACATCAAGAAATAACTGTCTTACTGGGGGCCCACAACATCAGGAAACAGGAGAAGACTTGGCAGGTCGTACGTGTGAAAAGAGCCATCCCACACCCCGCCTTCAATCTTAAAAATATCACCAACGATATCATGCTGCTGCAGGTGAGGCACAGCTCCTGCTGCTCTTGCTCTCCTCATACAGGGTTGCCCCTCCCACTGGGACCCTCTGCTTTCCCATTTTGCCACCAAGTCTTTCACAGAGTCCAGGTGTTGAGGACATAGGCTGATCTGGACTCTCTTACTTGTTTCCCTTCAGCTGGAGAAAAAGGCCAACCTGACTAAAGCAGTGCAGCTTCTCAGGCTGCCCAAGGGCAAGACCCAGGTGAAGCCAGGTGCCCTGTGCCAGGTGGCTGGATGGGGACAGTTGGCCCCAAACGGGGGCTTTCCAAACACACTACAAGAGGTGGAGATGATCGTGCAGAGGGATGAGGAGTGTAAGGTCAACTTTCGAAACATTTATGACAGTGCTACTGAGATGTGTGTGGGGGACCCAGAGGTTAAAAAAGCTTCCTTTAAGGTAAGACTGAGTATCTGTCACTCTTGGCTTTGGGGGAAAAGGTGTTTGGAACAAACCTTGGACTGGGAAACCCAAGCAGCAGGGTCTCCTTCACCTAGTAGGCTGTGATAATTCTCCCTGAAAGGAGAAAAAGGGACCTGCATGACCTGGGAGGTAACTTATGTCTCTACCACTTCCCAAAGGGGCCTCTGGAGAAGAGTGCCCCGCTGCAAGCATGAGTTTGCACCTCAATATCTGAGCTCACATCACAGGCATTAGAAAACTCTTCCCTTGGTGTGCAGTAATTATAACCAATTGGCTCCTCAGAGCCCATTGACCTTATTAGTCAATAAACTCATCCTCCCTGCTCTGTGTCTGGCGCACTCATCTGCCTCCCTGTCCTTAAACAGCAACCTGAAACCAGTGGTCCCACACAGCTCCACAGGGATAAGGTCTCAGGACCTGGGGGCAAAGACAAAGGCTGCCCCAAGAGTGAGATAGAGCAACAACAGTGTCCCCAGTCAAAGCTGGGCAGCTCAGGGGCCCAGGGCCTGTCCTTCCCTCTCATCTCTCACAAGCAGACTGTGCCAGTAGGACTTCAAGAGGGCTTGGGGATATCAGAGGGGACATGACCAGGAAGTGCACTGCCTCACAGCTTCACTCTCTCTACAGGGCGACTCCGGAGGCCCCCTCGTGTGTAATAATGTAGCCCAGGGCATTGTCTCCTATGGGCCACAGGATGGGACAACTCCACGTATCTTCACCAAAGTTTCACATTTTCTAGACTGGATAAAGAAAACCATGAAACATGACAAACTGCAGGGAGCAAACTAAGCCCCCTCTCTGAGCAACCATCTTTCCTGGAGCTGAGTCCAGAACTGCACTAGAGCAGATGCCAGCAACTAAATAAATGTCTCATCTCAGAAAAAAAGGCTGCTTTCTTGCTTATTCACTTCACGAGACCAACTCTGGTGGTCGAAGCAGGCCAGTGACACAATTCTGCTAATTTCTGCCACCTCCCTTCCTACTCCACTCAGTGCCTTTCCAAATCCCCACTCAAAGCCGTTAACCAGCTCCTTCTGACCCGCTTGAGTTTCTCCACAGCCTCACCATCGTGAGTGCTGAAGCTAAGCACCTTTGGGAGAAAATGTGCAGAGCTCTCATCCTGGGGCTCAGGGTGAACATGTGGCCTCCTTATATGGCACCTGGCAGAGGGGAAGAGGGGAATTTCATGGGTCTTGGACCACTGAGGTCACCACTCAGCCCCATCATCCTAGGTAGAAGGCTCTTTTCTCTCCCACAGGTTTAGGAATAACGGTGGAGTTAAGGAGGGTATTCTGCATGATTCTTTACTACCTTTACTAGCCACCAGGCTGCCCATTCCATTTTATCTCTCCTCAAAGTTGTCGCAGTCTACCAACTCCTGTCTTCACTAGGCTACAATGGTTTGATGTTGTTCCTTCTCAAATTCCACCACTTAGGACATCTAGAACCACTTGTGGTTCCATGCAAGGCCCATGTAGTGCAAGGCCGTTGAGATCAGAAACTGTGGCCCCACCTCTCACTTGGGCAGAGCCCCCCACCCCTCAGTGTGCTCCTATATACTCAAGGGCCCTTGGTCACTGAGCAATCTGAGCCCCTTTCACCCTATCCTATTAATCACTGCTGCCCTCAAAGCTAAAACTTCCTGGAGACACATGGGCTATCCCAGTCTTAAACTTAGTAAGGGCTCCTCTCTGCAGAAGGACAGGAAAGCACACTGGTTTCCACCAGTCAGCAGATAAATGCTTCCAGAGTGCTGTTGAGGACAACCCAGGAAGGCTCTCCTTGAAAGAAGACCATTTGTTCCATGTCTGCTAAACTTTGCCCTAATTCCACATATTGATTTGTACACAGCTGGCTAGGATAATATTACACCAATTCAATTGCCTTTAAGCAATGCAAAGGGGTCTAGGGGATATGCTGATGTGCAGCCTTTGAAGCAGTGGACAGGTCAGTGATGCCCACATGTAGCTCCCTACTACTTAGTGTGACCTAGGCTGAGAGATGCTGAGCTGTAGGCTAGAACTGAGGCTCAAGAAAGAGTCCCTGACCTAGGGCAAGAAGGTCAAACAGCGAAACTGAGGCAACTGACCAGAAACCCAAGACACTTCCTCAAACTGTGTTGTGCAGATTCCTCCAAACTTACAGGCTACCTGTTACCCGAATCCAGTACTCTTTCTGCAAACCTCTCTCTGCCTGTTGCAGAGGTGTTATTATGCCTCCTGCCTAGCTCAGCACACAGTAATCACATACTTCCTGTCACTCTCACAGTCACTCAACCCCCAGGCACTCCCCTCTTCACAAATTCATAAAACCCAGGTTCAGCCCTGGGTTGTGGCCTTTCCCCTGGATTTCCATTGTTCCGACTAGAGTTAGGACCCCTTGGCTCCCCATAATTGCAGATATGTGTTTACCTATTTATTCACCTATGGGTTGCACTGGAAGTGGTAGATTGTAATTTCCTTATTAGAATTACAATAACTTTTCCCTGAGATTACAAATAAAAACTCCTCCAGGCTGAGACAAGCCCGGAGCAGGATCTCTGTAAGTGCTTCCTAAGAGCCAGGCCTTAGGGATCTATACTGAACATAGTAGGAGCCCAGTGAAACTCACAGGGTTAAAGACTTTTGAAATTAGCCCGTCTATCCTTGAGATTGGTCCAGAGGGCCCATGTGGATAATTTATGGCAATAAAATACCTTCTCTGTATTCCTGGTTGCAGTTTCTATCAATATTACCCCAGAAGTGCTTGAGACTTGGAAATGACCTGAGTCATTCAGTTTCCAGGTGTAAAGTTGCTAAATAATTTGAAAGAGGGCCTTTGCATGGGGAGAGGGCAGCAGGGAGCTAAGAAAATAATAGGGTAGCCTTATTTTCATTTTTTGAAAAGTAGCACATGAAATTTCAGAAAACATACACGTCTGATCAGCCTGCAGCGAATCATAATGCCTGTCAATACTGCAGTGCCAGCCTCTGCAGAATCGCGCTCCAGTCAGGGAGTCTACCCAGTGGCAAAATGGAGAAATGCCTGCACTATTTAGGTCATGGTGTTTTCTGTTACACCCATGGTTTCTAATATTACCCAAGGCTGAACCTGGGTTTGATTAATTTGTGAAGAGGGAAGTGGCTCGGTTTCTAATATTAGCTTAGAAGACACAGAGTGTGTGGCTTTTTGTTAAATCAATGTCTCCCTGCGTATTGGGCTAACTGTGCTGAACACTCCTACCAGCCCTCGCGGTGGGGTCATGTCACAAATACCCGACACTGTCTGGCAGAATTTGGCACTAAGTTAGTGCTTCTCTGTCCCACACATACACAGCACTGCACTCGTTTGTGACATGGAGGAAAATCTCCCTCTGAGATCATGGAATGCCCAAGGCATGCCCTTGCCCATCTTGTTGTGCACAAATCGTGGTAACCTCAAGAGGTTATGTCTCCATCTCCAAGGTCTTAGGCTTCACTGGTCTGTTGAATTTAATTATTGAAAAACAAATCTGCTGTCACCAGATGAAGTGAGCCACTGCAATGGGTAGATGACTGATGCTGATGTCCAAGGGAAGATAAGAGTCACTGAATTGCCTCTTAGTAACGACTAATGAAAGTCAGTGGAAGACGTATCAGAATGGTACCTTGACATTACCATGCTACTGTGCTAGGACAATGACTTGTCATCTACCTATTTGTGACTTTAACTATCTACAAAGCAAGGTAGTGCAAGTTTGCATTTTGACATAGATGAGAACTGTTGCCTGTACTCTCCTTGACATAATATTAAAGGTTTCTCAGCCTATTTCTTATCTTCAAGTATACTCAGTAATAGACAGCTCCCATACTGGACTTTTAGATAACTTAACATATCTAAATCAGCTGGTTTAGTCTCTGAAGCAGAATAAGAAGTGAACAGGTTAATTCCCACTGTTCCAGTGGCCTCCGGCAGAAACTTCAATCTTGGCCTTTGGTCTGGGTTAGTCTTTCACCTTGCACTGCCCACAATTCCCAGGATCTCAGGAGGATACTAGACTGTTATTCTGTACTATTCTCCCCAGGTCAATTTTCAGTACTGGCTTATAGTCTCTCCTATCCACAGAGGAGACAAGGAAGGCAGGACATGTCCACAAAACGCTAGGTCAGAGGACCCCCCCCCCAGGCAGGGCCATGTCAATTCCCATAAACACAAGTCTTGCTCCAAAACTCAGAACCCACCCCCTGTGTGGTCACTCAGCAGCCAGATTCTCCTCAGCCTGGCCATTCTGCTCACTGCTAATAACAGGGTCTCTGAGTTGGACCTGCATGATTGATTATGCAACCTATAATAAGCAGTTAAGTGAGAGCGGCCACATCTATAAGACTAGAAAGCATCATTCTGCCATCAACCAACACATTAATTCTTTTTAGGCAAATACTGTGTGCTAAGCAGTAGGTACACAGAAAAGCAGCCTGTTGTAGAATTTCTCTGGTTTCTCTGATTTTCATGTCACTTCACTTGGGTGAGTGTCTTGGCTTACAATTGGGTTTGAAATCGACAAGAATCCAAGTCCTCTTGTTCTAAAGATAGTATCTACTTGGAGTGTACATGCCACAAGTACATGTTATGTGCCACAGTTCTCAAATGCATAATCAAAGCCAACCTGACCGCAGTGGAATGAGCAGAGCTCAGGAATGCTCCCTCCTTGAAGGCAGGTGGAAGGTGAGGAGGGGGACAGACAGCATACGCAGGCCTGTCTTGATTTGACTTGTATGCCTTTGTGCACAAACTCAGATATGAAAAGGTGAAACATTTTAGAGAACACGAACTCATCCCAGATAACTTTCAGGTTGGAAGTTTCTTTCACCTATATCATTTGGGAGTTTGGGTTACTTCTCCAGAGGGGGGAACCCTGTGGGCAGCTGAATTAGATAGCAATATTATAGGCCGGCAGACAGGACTGGGCCCTCAAAAGCCAGTACGGAAGACAAGATACCTTGCAACTAGGCGAGAGACAGGCACTTCCACTCTGGGCCAGACCTCAAGACAAAAGATTAAACAAGTGAACCCGCATACCTCCCTTAGATGGACATCAGGGACTGATATTATAGTCAGCTAGTAATCATCTTGAAAAAGTACAGAAGAGTCATTAACCCTACCCACTACAAGAAAAGCCCATCTCTGTATTCATGCCCACTTGCTACTTGACTGGCTTCCCCATTTGATCCCGATTTAATCAATTTTACCTGAACAATTATAACTGTAATCTTATTGGCTGACCATACGTTTGTCCCACCTCATACCCACCTAGTAATTTCCCAGTTTTCCTGACCGTGGACCAGCCTCATCTTGTGGTTTTCTTCCGTAAAAATACTTGGAAAAAGCAAATTCTTTGGCAATCCCCTCAGGCCCCTTCTGCTCTCTCTGAAACAGAAGCTTTCTTTCCCCCAATAAATATATTCTGCTCTTAAAAAAAAATTAAAATTAAAGAATTCCAGAGACAAGACTTTAGTTAGAGCTAATGTATTTGACTGTGCTTGAAGAGATTGGAGAAGGCGAGAAAGGAGAGCAAGATGAGAAAAGAACAGGCAGTAAACAAGAATATATCACATGGTTGTTTATTACTGTGGGCAACTGGCACAGTTCTACTTGGGGTTCTTTGAGGATCTGTGTAGAATGAATTTTGACACTAACTTTTTGGAGCTCAGGAACCTAGATCATTCGACTATGGATTCCCATTCCAACTGGCTCAGTGCTGTCTCTGGATTCATTAATTCTCCTTCCTTCCCTTCAGGGTTGAGGTCGCTCTTGGCTGGAGAAAATTCCTATAGCTTCAGATAATTTCTTGAGTCATAAAAACCAAGAGATGCTTAGTTCCCTGGAATCCTAAGATGCATCGCAAGTTGCAGGTGTCTACAATGAATG